AAACCCCTCACCTTCAGCGGGCGGCGGCGTGAAAGGCCTGTCCACGGCCCGTCTTTCTAGTCAACCGCCGCCTCCGCCTCGGCTGCCGTCGGCAGCGCCCCGGCCGCCTCCAGCGTCGGCGCCCCCTGCCGCAGGCCGCGGCGGGCGCGCCCGAGTGCTCTCGATCTCGTTGTGGTCCCTCAGTATTGGTGCGCCACTTGTGCAGGGCTAGGGCGATGGCGTCACTGCAGTTGGCCTCGCCCTCGCACGCGGCGGCCATGCGCCACGGAAGGGTGCCGCTGCCCGCTGAGTAGGCGTCGATCACGCCCAGCATCCGTTTAACCATCTTCTCGATGCTAGCCGTCGCGCCCAAGTTGAGCTGATCGCACTCCCCGCGCAGCTTGGAACTCTCCGTCAAGGTTGTCATCTCACGATAGACGCGGTCGGTATTCGAGATGTTGTTGCCCCGAACAAAATCCTGCCACCAGCGCCGCGGGTCCCCGCCGTAGCGCCCATCGCGGCGGGCGAGATGGAGGGCTCCAGCAGGGCCTTGAGCCTCCACGGCCTTGATCGGCTCCTCCCTGCTATCCTGCACGGCCTTCTTCCAACTCTTGAGCTCCTCGCACACCTCGTCGTAGGCGACCCGCAGGGCGCGGACGTCATCGCCCTGAGAGGGAAGCTCCTCGGCTGATCGGGCGCGATGGACCGAGGGGCCAAACGCGGCGGCCGAGCCGGCGGAGCGCGCCTGGAGGTTCTCCACGAACTCGACGCGCCCGCTGCTGGCCACCGCCTGGACACGCAGGAACGAGCCGTGCCTGAGAACAGCGCCGTCGGTCGACGTGACGATCACGCTTCCAGCCCGCGGAGTCCCCTCCATGCCCATGGCCTCGTGGACTTCAACGTTTTCCGTGACCAGCCACACCCAACCTTCACGCAGCGCAGGTCGCTCGGGCAGCACGGCCAGGTAGGGGGCCACCACCGCGCGCCCGCCGCGGGACCCATCGGCCTCTGACGCGGCAGTCCCGGCTGGCGGTGGCAGCGGCGGCGGCGCAGTGCCGCCGACGGCGGGGGGCCCTCCAGCACCAGCAGCACCGACCCCGTCCCCTCGGCGAAGGCGCCTCCCTACGCCAGGCAGCGGAACCAGCAGGCACTCCGCATCCACGAAGTGCGGAAGGGCAGGAGGCTCCTGTCCCGCCGAGCGAATCCTACCCACGGCCTGCTCGACAAAATCGCAGCTAAGCTCACACACGCACGCCTCGGACCACACTCGCCGAGCGATATCCTCCACCACGTCGAGACTGATGACCGCCTCGGGGCAGGAAGCTTCCAACTTCGTCGCGGGAGCAGGCGGCGGCACCCAGAAAGCGTGGTATCCAGGAGGGACGGCAGGGCCAGAGGACCACCGCCGCTCGGCAGCGTCCCGCAGAATGATGGTCAAGGTGACGAGAAGGACCCCGATCACCGACTGCATTCGGTGCCAGAACCCTAGAGCCTGGGTGACTGCGGAGCAACAAAGATTTGGACCGATGAGACCGACACCCCAAACTCCGCTTAGTCATCACTGCGCACGCACCCCCAATATTTGATGGCGTGCTGGGAACACTACGTAGTTTAAGAAAGGCTGCAGGGCGTGCAGCTACAGGATTGGCGTGATCGTGAAGTCTGCGAAAGGGGTATCTGATGAGGCACGGCATGGTATGGCATCTCTCCGCCCCAGACCACCCCCCTTCACGTACAACTGATAATCGAATCCTCCCCCCAAGATCCTCCGTCGTCTGACTCTCAGCCCTCGGCCCCTTTTGGGCCTCCCACCAGGACCCCTGGGTTTGGTTCCCCTCCCCCCTGGGTAATGCGCATCCCCCCATGGACCCTCCACGCCCGACGTCAAATTCTTGTTCAGGCCGCCCCCCCCTTCTCCCCGTTCAGAAACGGGTCTGTCAGAAACTGTGCCTCTCCGCGGCTGCCAGGGCCAAACAGGCGTCAACAGTCGCCCGTGGAGGAGGAGCAGGAGAGGGCGGAGGAGAAAGCTGGAGAGGGGAGGTCGCTCTGGGCTCCAGAGCTCTCCTGGGGCTCGGGCTTCGCTCCTGGAGCCGTCACGCGAGGTCCTCAGATCTCCTGGCGCGAGGGGGCCACCGTGGGAGTGCAGTGGCGGAACTGACCTCCTCCTCCTCCTCCTCCTCCTCCTCCTCCTCCTCCTCCTCCTCCTCCTCCTCCCTCTCCTCCTCCTCCTCCCCCTCCCCCTCCCCCCTCCTCCTCCTCCTCCTCCTCCTCCTCCTCCTCTCCTCCTTCCGCCTCCTCCTCCCCTCCTCCTCCTCCTCCTCCTCCTCCTCCTCCTCTGCTCTACGGCTGCCCCCTTGCCTGTTTCTTCTCTTGCGTCGGGCCTGCCTCGTTGGCGCGTGCCACATGTTGGCCAACCGCCACAACCACCACCACCACCAAGCACCACCACAACCATCATCATCATCATCATCATCATCATCATCATCATCATCATCATCATCACCATCATCATCATCATCATCATCATCATCATCATAATCGTCATCATCATCATCAACATCATCATAATAATAATAATCATCATCATCATCATCAGCATCATCATCATCATCATCATCATCATTTTCATCAGCATCATCACCATCATCATCATCCTCATCATCCTCATCATCCTCATCATCATCACCACCACCGTCTCTGAGAGCACAGTTGCTCGTCTTGGCCTGTCTGATCGCGACAAGGCTCGCGAGATATGTTGGACTGTCTGCCTGGATCACGTCTGGCCCTGTGCAATCCGCGGTGGTGTGCCCTCCCGTCGTCACAGCTCATTCTCTAACATCTGCAGCAACAAAAAAAAGTAATCATCATCATCAGCATCAGCATCAGCATCATCATCATCATCGTCGTCAGCATCAGCATCAACATCATCAGCAGTAGCAACATAAGAATCAGCATCATAATCAGAATCATAATCATCATCATCATCGTCATCATCATCATCATCATCATCATCATCATCATCATCATCATCATCATCATCATCATCATCATCATCATCATCATTTTTTTTTGTTTAACCAGCGCGATGATATGACATGTGCGTGACGTGGCGTGTCATCTCTGCAGATTTCCACCGTGCCCTCCAGGGGCCTCTTTCCCGGCCATTGGCTATCGGCACCAGCACGCGAGCGGCGGCCAACGCAGAAAACTGCGGACCTGAAACTTCGAACTGCCGCCGCCTCCACATCAGCAGCAGCAGCAGCCGCACCATCAGCAGCAGCAGCAGCAGCAGCACCATCACCATCACCATCACCAGCACCATCATCATTCGGCCTCCGGTGCAGCCTAGATCCCAGGAAGACAGATGCCACTCTTGGACTTCGCGGCAAGTGCGCTCGCCGTGCACGACGAGCATTAACAGACCCAAACACGAAGGTACCAATTTTGACCACTCCCTCTGGTGACAAACGAGCTGTTGTCACTAAACGAGATAAGCACGTTGGTACTGTGCGGAACTCTTGTGGCTCCACCCTGCTCGATGCCAGGCCGAAGGCTTGCCTCGCTGCGTACTATCCCCTCGCGCACAGGTTGTTCGGAAACGCCAAGATCCCACGTGACGTTCGGCTTTCCCTTGCCCGTTCTCTGTGTCTTTCCCGCCTGCTGTCCGAAGAAGACACGTGGGTTGAGCCCACCCCAGAAGCAGTTGGGGTCTTCAACGCTGCTCGCCTCCGCGCCACCACGTGCTTCACCAAAGTTGCGGCCGCTGCCAGTTCAAAGCAACCAGCACTGGGACAGACAATTCGGTGCACGCCGAGTTAGGGGAGCTCCGCACTGACCTTCTCTTCTTCCAGCGCCGACTTACCGCCGGCGCCTCAAAGATTTTAGTGGCCCTCGAGCTTTGTCAGTCTGCTGCTTCGAAGGCTTTGGCTGAGGACTGGGCGTGGGCCTGGCAAGCCGCGCCCACCTTGAGATCTTTGCCAGAGCCACGCCAAGACCCGAGGCCTTCACTCGAGTCGGTGCCCAACCCATCTGAGTGGAAGCGCGCCTTGTCGGCTCTCGAGCCGAACCTCTCCCGAATGCGTGTCTGGCACGTGGCTCCAGAGTCTTTCGACGCCACGTTTTCGGCTTCTCTGGCCAGTGTCCCATTCGTGTGCATGCGGTGCCCTCCGGAGACGTCGTTGCTGCAGCAGCAACCGAGGCCTCCGTGGTCATATGTCTCGTGGCCACGCTGTTGGTAACGACGCAAGTTATGTTATCCCAGACTGTTCTTGCCCAATTTGCAAGAGAGTGTTCTCAAGCCGTCATGCTGGAATTGTGAAGCTGGCTTGCAAGCTCCAGCGCTGCAATGACGCTCTTGCTTCACTCAGCCCCCTCGCTGAGAGTACAGTTGCTCCTCTTGACCTGTCTGATCGCGACAAGGCTCGCGAGATAGGTTGGTCTGTCTGCCGGGATCACGTCTGGCCCTGCGCAGCCCGCGGTGGTGCGCCTTCCCGTCGTCACAGCTCATTCTCTGACATCTGCAGCAACAAAACATCATCATCATCATCATCATCATCATCACCATCATCATCATCATCATCATCATCATCATCATCATCATCATCACCATCATCATCATCATCATCATCATCATCATCATCATCATCATCATCATCATCATCAGCATCATCATCATCAGCATCATCATCATCAACATCAGCATCATCAGCAGTAGCAACATAAGCATCAGCATCATAATCATCAGAATCATCATCAGCAGCAGCAGCAACATCATCACCATCATCATCATGATCATCATCATGATCGTGATCGTGATCATGATCATGATCATGATGATCATCATCATCATCATCATCATCATCATCATCATCATCATCATCATCATCATCATCATCATCGTCATCGTCATCGTCATCATCATCATCATCTGTCCCTTCCTCCCTCCCTCCCTCCCTCCCTTGCTTCCTTCATTCCTTCCTCCATCCTCCCAGGGTGGCAGAGCGGGCGACGTGCTCGGCCGCCCGTCCTTGTCACCGTCAAGTGTGTTGAAGACCACTTCGACGAGCTGAGCACGTGAGAGGTGCGCATTGGCGGGCCCGGCATCCGCCGCTGGTGGGGGCGCCTTCGCCTGCTCAGGATATAGAACCAACGGAAGCAGAAAGAGCATCAGCCCGGGCCAAGGAGGAGCGGGGGGCAGGCGCAGGAGGGGGCTGGGCTTGGTCGGGTCCCTGGGCCCCTACAGGGCACAACTGGAAGCGTACCACACAGAGCGGAGTGGTGATCACGTTGGCTTCGTCGGGGCTTCTGAATCCCTCCTAGCCTTCGGCGTGGACTGCGGCAAAATCGCTGTGACGACGCCGGCAGTAGCCACCTCGCGGAGGGTCGACAGTTCGCTCTTGTCATCTCTCTAGTTCGTCATCCATCCTCCATGTCTCATCTTCTTTCCACTTTCTTGGCCTGGGCTCCCAATTCCCTCCTGTTTCTTCTCACCCTACTCGTCCTCTTCGTCAACTTCGCCCTCCTCCTTTCTCCTCGTCCTTTCTCCTCCTCCTCCTCCGCCTCCTCGTCCTCCTCCGCCTCCTCATCCTCCTGCTTTTCATCATTCCTCTTCCTCCCCTCCCTCTCCTCCTTATCCTCCCTCTCCTCCATCTCCTCCCTCCTCCTCTGCCATCTGCCCCTCCCTTCCATCCCCTTCGCGCTCATCTCTTTTGTTTTGTTTCTCTCTCTCTCTCTCTCTTTCTTGATGTCTCTCTATATATATATATATATATATATATATATATATATATATTGTTTAACATGTTACGGTCTCACTCTCATCTCTCTCTCTCTCCCTCCCTCCATCCCTCCGTCTCTCTCTCTCTCTCTGGCCACTCTTTTTACCTAACAGCGAAGACTGATAGGTTTCTAGTTGACTCAAAAGAGCTCACAGATCACTCCACAGGGGGGTCCGGGCAGGTGTTGGGGAGTTGCCGGGCGGCAGGGTGCCGGGCTCGTTTTTCACAAACAGTCACACACTTCGTGCTCTTCGACTTCCCAGAACTCCATTCCCAGGCCACATTCTGAATACCCGGATGCAACAGTCACACACTTCGTGCTCTTCGAGATCCCAGAACGCCATTCCCGGGCCACATTTAGAATAACCGGATGCAACAGTCACACACTTCGTGCTCTTCGACATCCCAGAACGCCATTCCCGGGCTACATTTTGGATGCCCGGATGCAACAGTCACACACTTCGTGCTCTTCGAGTTCCCAGAACTCCATTCCCGGGCCACATTCTGGATGCCCGGAGCCAACTGTAGGCCACTTCCTGGTCTTCGAGTTCCCAGAACTCCATTCCCGGGCCACATTTTGAATAGCCAGACGCTTCAGGAATTGCAAGTGACACTGCAGTCCACTGCATTCAATCGTGCCACTGCATTCACTCACTGCAGGAGGAGGAGGAGGAGGAGGAGGAGGAGGAGGAGGAGGAAGATAGGAGGAGGAGGAGGAGGAGGAGGAGGAGGAGGAGGAGGAAGATGAA